AGATATGTCCTTTCATGTAACTAGCATAACATATAAATATTAAATTAAAGTGGCGGCGGCAGAATATTGAGATTCTGTTCTTCTCCTCAAAACCTGTGTTCTACTGCTCTCTCACCACTCTTTCTTCTACTTCTTCACTTTCTCTTCTCATCGAACCTAGAGTTTCTTAGTGATCAAGACTGATAGCAGTCTTGAACACCTACAGATCAAAAAATTTATTTTTATTCTAAAAATACAAAAAGGTACTAAAAATCAAAATAAATAATATGAATGATACTTAATAAAATACTCATGAGCTACTCATAAAAAAAAAAAACTCATGAACCAATCAAATTCCACAGTCCTAACTTCAAAGCATCCCAATATAAATAAAATATGCCTATGTAATATTGAAGTGACAACTCAAACTCCACCTAAGAGCAATTTAGAAATTGATTGGACAAATATTTCTAGCTAAATAAGAAATTACAAAATTTAACGTAGAAAAGGCCTTTAAAGCCTCAAATTGGCAAGTGTTTCTTTATGTTTACATTCACCTAAAACTTGAGGGGCAAAAACACTACTTTAATGTGCCCACAGATGCATTGGTGCTTGGATCATGTTTAAATTTTAAAATTTACTTCCTGCTAATTCTTATTATTTTTTAAGCTTTTTCTTGTCCATGTTCTATTTTGGCGTCTCAGATCAGTTACTATTAGCTAAGGACTTTCTTTCCAACAGTCCACTTGCGTAACTCGCTATTCAAACTTTTTAGTAAATGACCAATTCAGTATGAGACAGTTCCAACACCAGTTCCTGTCTTGTACTATGATATGACTTTTTAAAATTCTCTCCCCCAGACAACCCTCCTTGTTCCATCATGATCTTCTTAATGGCTAGCTGTATTATCTTCCCCTTCTCAAGGACAGAGGAATTCCAACCTTTGTGAGTAATGCTTTCAGCTAACCTTTGTGAAAGCGAATGTTTTCAGCCAAGTGAACAGAATGAAATAAGGGGCCCAAACAGTGTAACACAGAGAAGATTGAGTTGTCTGTTGGCAGTTATAGATATGATTAAAAAATGTCAGCCTTCTCTCCTCTACTTGAAAGTTGCAAGTCCATCTCTGGAGTTCTAGATACTTGAACTCTCCAGTTTCTAATCTCAGTAGAAGCACTAAGCAGATAAAAAAAAAATCTTTTTTTTTTAATTTCTTTGATTAAATCTAATGGCTGAGGTTATTTGCAAGTATATCATTTAAGGCATGCACCTCTCTAACTTTGAAGCCTAAGCCTTTAAGATCATGGAAGACGCCTAGCGAGGCAAGGTTAAATGGCCCCACCTAGCCTTGAGGTGTATGTCTCTTTGTCTGACCTCATAGCCTTTTAAAACCATGTTGTGGCCACAGCTTAGCAACATTCAAGTGTAATGTATTACTATAATATTGAGGGATTGGGGGGGGGGGGAGCAGCATGGGCTGGCCTAAGGGGAGCTGTTCATAAGCATTGTATATGTTTCATTTGCTCATATCATTGGTGCTGAAAGCATGGAATTCATTTCTTGTTCTTACCCAGTGTGTCATCTTAAATATATTAAGTGGGAAGCGCCATGATTGATTCACTTATGAATTCCTCTCATATTACTTTTGTTTATTGAGTTCTTGTAGTGCACTCCATAATCATTACTATTGTCAGATTCAAAAGTTGTTAGTCTAATTGCATTTGTTAGCTTCTTTTTACATATTTACTTTAGGTCTTGTTGCTTTTTTCTTTTTTCTGTATTGTTTAATGCATTAACTTCACATTGATCCACATTTTTTATGACAATATTCTAGTAGCACCACATACTTGATTCTTTTTTGTTCAAGAAAAAACATATGTTCCATGTCCAAATATCAATTCCTGTGCAAAGAAATACATGCTTAGGCTATCAATTTTTTGATTGATAACAGTAAAAATTTTATCGATTATGATGGAAATAATGAGTATTTACATTATAGTGCTCCAAGCAATCCTAGATTAGGCTAGCAAGGCTACCTATCCCAGCTTTAGTATGTTTTACCAGTGAATCAGCTTAAGTGTTAGCTGATCTTCTAACCTGTGTATAAGAAATTATTGGCTAGGTTATCAATTTTCTAGCATCTTCTGATGTTCTGAAATGATTTCCTTTGTTTTTTTCCTGCATCTTTTGTTGCAGTGGGTCTTGTTCTTCCAATATTTGATTCAGAATTTTATTTTGATAAGGTTTCTTCTCTCTCTCTCTCTCTATGTAAGATCCATAATGATTTTCCAATTTTCAGGTGTACAAGCGTTTAAATCTAACCCTGGAATTAGTAAAGAAAGAGATGGAGATCAGCAAAATACAGGTTTCCTATCTGGTGTTATTAGTTTTTCTAGCAAGTTCCTATATTGCAATTCTTCTTTCAACATGTGATCCGTCATTCACCCTTTTTTGGTATTGTGCTAGGAATCAATAGCAAAAGCCATTGAAGAAAAAATAAGTGGTGAGCAGCGCCGCTATCTATTGAATGAACAACTTAAAGCTATAAAGAAGGTATTTGTTCCATTATACTTAAAAACTTGGTTTTGTCACTTAGATTCCACATGCATCACTTTTATGGTCCTTGCTTTATGAAAATAATTTGTGACCAAAATGCCTGTTTGATTGTAATTTATGACCAGGTTTCAAAGTGATTTGCTTTGATATGGCTTTGTTCTTCACTATTGTGCACTCTGCATGAATTTAATTTCATTTCTCTTGGTCCAGGAGCTTGGTTTGGAGACAGACGACAAAACTGCACTTTCTGGTTAGCTCTCTCTCTCTCTCTGACACACACACACACACACACCAGTGGCATGCCTGGGTTATAAGTCCACTCTTGGAGAAGCCCCTCTTACTAGAACTGCAGTACATTTATTAACATGCACACATTTAGCGGGAATTACCAAAGCTAGAATTGCAAGGGCAAAAGTTAATTGAATACCAAGTAATCAATATGTTACTGAAAGATTTACAGTGTGATTCAAGAAGAAGTTTGGGAGGCTAAAGAGTCATGTCCCTCTTCACTATTATTTATTACTTAATATTGCAAATTTCACCTAAACTTAGACCTAAGGCTAAGCGACCCTCATAATAATAAGTGTAGTCTCAAAAGATAGGATGTCTTTCTTTCTTTATTCTTTAAAAAAAATCATCTACACCGAGTCGGCCCCATTAAGGGAGATTTGCTCAAAACAACTGTGCCCTATGCATCCCTTGCTTTGTCAATGCATCTGCCATTGTATTTGCTGACCTGTTAACCCATTTAAAGTTAGCCTCAACCTCACCTGCTAGTCTTCTTACTTCCCTTGTTTGTTTTTGGCAAACCAATCTATCACCAGTGCAGAATTGCCTTCCACTTCTAAAGGTCTCAGGTTCAGTTACTTCACTAACTTTAGACCTTGCAGAAGGGCAGAAATTTCTGCAAGTAAAGAATCTGAAATCCCAATTGTCCCAGAGTAAAGTGCCATAACTGCACCCCTACCATCTCTAAGGACCCCTCTGATACCTGAAGGACCTAGTTTCCTAATGGAGCTGCCACCAAAATTCAGATCGACACTGTTGCTTCTAGATGGAATCTACTCCTGCACAGATGCTTTTGGAAGAGAGGAAGCTGCTATTAAACTCAAGCCTCTAAAGAAATCACCACAGTGTAATTGTTAAACAAATCCATAGTTTTGATCCAATGATTAATTCTTAATTCAATGTCTTCAATTAAGGTAGACACTGATTTACTCTGTCCTCTGAACACCCTATTATTCCTCTCCTCCCAAACCAACCAGAAAATAACCTTATCCCAACTATTTGGGGTCAGCTACATGAATCCTGTTTCATCCTTCCATTCTGCTGAATGCCATGTCCATTGTTAAATTATGAGCGCTTAAATAATTTCTTACACAAAGTACACTTAAACCTAAATGTTAATTGATAGGATGCCTTATACAGTTTACATCTTTTTTATTTTGGGAAAAAACGACTATTGATTAGATGGATTGATCATCTAAGCAAGATAATTGTACCTTCGGTGATCTATTGGATGGGCATTTAAAATGGTGGCACACTAACATACTCCAAGGTGATACATGAACAATGAGGTTCTCTTTGGATGTCTTTCTTCTATCCACTTCATATAACTCTTGAGTAGGCTCTGCTCTCCAGTTGGGAATAGTTATCAAGTGTTTTCGAAAACCTTGACCCAAATGCATTTCTATCAACATTTTCAAAGTTCAGATGAACTAGCATCTGGTCAAGAACAAGCAAGCTGATATCTGTACATAACCTTCTATTACCTTTTTTTTTGTCCTCAAAAATATTCAAATGCCTTTGCATATAAAAAATGGAATGGCATTCCAGAATAATTTGGCCTTCTTATTTCCAACCAAGGAAAGCTACAATGAAAAGATTAATGTGGCTCATTTACTCTGAGGTTCCGAAATAAAACAAAGAATTCCCAAATATAATCCACAACTTTGTAGTTAATAAAAGGTGAAGCACATCTTGTTTCTTGTTTCACTTGAAACTAAGACTAGACATCTGGATACACCGATATTCAAGTGATCAACAATTAGTATACTATTCAAAGAAAGTAGCTGACAGAACAGGATTGCCCCATACTCATTTAACTTGAGAATAATCCACCTGGTTTCTAATCAAAGCAGCATATAATGACTTAATTGAAAGGCTCACATCCCTTCTCTCCTTTTTGCTTCCATCCTGTCAAATGGCTTTACACACTACAAACTCTCTATCTAATGAAGTAATGATGGTCTAATAAACATTGGACGCTAGACCACTTGGTCTTTTATTAATTCAACTAGCCTTGTTCTAAGCATATGGGATTGTCTAAATGAAACCCATTCTACTTTCTACAATTCCACTCTGTTTAGTGCCATATCCATATTACTACGCTTAAGAAATTGTGGTATGGTAATATTAGTAGAAATCAACCAGAACCATACAGCCTAGAAAGACTTGATATAATTTTCCAATGCTCAACCATTTATCCTCCCAAAAAACTTACTCTTATATTGTCACCCGCTTTAAACTTGGAACAACTTCCACGTTGCAAAAGTTGATAGAGTTTCATAGTTCCCTTCCACACGCAAGCTTTGTACAGAAAGTGATTAGATTAGATTCCTTGCATCTTTTTCTGGGCAACTTTAGAGAGACATATAATTGGAGTAGGTTCCTTAACTTCTTCCTTGATTGTTGCAGCAAAGTTTAGGGAAAAGCTTGAACCAAACAAGGAAAGATGCCCACCACATGTTTTGCAAGTTATAGAAGAGGAGCTCACAAAGCTCCAGCTTCTAGAGGCCAGTTCAAGTGAGTTTAATGTTACTCGTAACTATCTTGATTGGCTCACTGCATTACCTTGGGGAAATTACAGGTATTGTTATAGTACTTCTTTATTTGTTCAGTTGTAATTTTTTCTTTGTTGTTTGGTTTGCTGTGAATTTCTAGAGGATATTTGTTTCAATTATTTAAAGTGTTAATGTATCATCTCTACTGTTCCATGTTGAGAAGTAAGATCCTGTTGAAGCTTTGAGTAGTTTGAAATTGATCAGACTCATTGAACAACCCAACTAGCAGACTCGTCCCCTATATATTTTTGTGTTTTTTGCATATGTTCACATATAGCTGTTTATGTTAATTGAATGCGTATGTATTTGTTACTTCTTTTAATTTTTATTAAAATGGTGGAGTTCATTTTTTTTTTTGAATCGAAAGTTCATATTTTGTTAACTTAATAAAAAAAATGCAGTGATGAGAACTTTGATGTTCATCATGCTCAAACAATACTTGATGAAGACCACTACGGTTTAAGTGATGTTAAGGAGCGGATACTGGAATTCATAGCAGTTGGAAAACTTAGAGGAACCTCACAAGGTTGGTAAGACGTCCTTTTTGAATAGCATCTTTGCTTGTTGGGGTTACTTCTGATCCAACGGTATCTTAATCTTCATTGAACAATGTTGCACATCCCATCAGTTTAAAAATTAGTACCTGATTTTTGGAGTTTACTGCCAAATAATTGCAGGAAAAATCATTTGTCTATCTGGGCCTCCTGGAGTGGGTAAAACCAGCATTGGTCGTTCCATTGCACGTGCCTTGAATCGGAAGTTTTATCGGTTCTCTGTAGGAGGATTGGCTGATGTTGCTGAAATTAAGGTACAGTAGTAGAACACTCTGCTGAAATGATCTGTCAATGTATAGATCTTTGTCATAATTGTAGAAAGATTGCCTCTTTTACTCCTTTTTAGTGATTGGCATCTGATCAAGACAGTTCTTGCCTCTTTTGACCCCCACTATTATATTTAGGGGCATCGTCGAACATATATAGGTGCCATGCCAGGAAAGATGGTGCAGTGCCTGAAAAATGTTGGAACAGCTAATCCTCTTGTTCTGATCGATGAGATTGACAAGGTATTGTTTGAATCTACCACATTTTCTTTTCTCATCTGCATGAATCTGCTGTTTTTACTATACTTTTGGAACCCCAAGGCAGTGAATTTTTGGATTGAGTATTTTGCTTATGGGTTTACACTGTTGTGTTTCGCAACAATGAAATGACTTCATTGTTAATAATGATGTGTTTTATAACAGTTGGGAAGGGGGCATGCTGGTGATCCCGCAAGTGCTTTGTTGGAGCTTCTGGATCCAGAGCAAAATGCAAACTTTCTGGACCATTATCTTGATGTCCCTATTGACTTATCTAAGGTGAGTGACTATGGGGCCTTCTTGAGTATGCTGTGATTTTATCATGCAAATCCTGTCTTTTTAACTGTGCTATTTTGTAACTTTTACTGCCAAATGGCGGTCATATTAGTAGGATCAAGCCATCAACTGTATTTTTCTTTAATAGAATATAAATATTTTGATGAGTTTATACAGATAAAATTATGTTGCTATTTGGTTGAATAATGTTTATATATGGAGAAATGATATTTTCATCTCTATGGTCTTTTTCTTGTAGGTTCTATTTGTCTGCACAGCAAATGTAGTGGAAATGATACCAAATCCTCTCCTGGATAGAATGGAGATCATTGCCATTGCTGGCTATATAACTGATGAGAAGATGCATATTGCCAGAGATTATTTGGAGAAAACAACTAGGGAAGCATGTGGTATCAAGCCTGAACAAGTACTAATCAATTTCTCCTTTTATGTACCTTTCCTTTTGTTTTCAGATGGGCCAGTTGCCTAGGCAACACCTAGGCAATAAGGTGCCCATGGATGGTCACCTTACTTAATTGCCTTCCCATTTTGTACATGCTTTTATATATTCTTTTGTTTTGTTAGTATAATAGTTAAATAGATATTGTTTAACTAAAATATTCATTTTGTGTGTTTATATGATAGTTTTTTATTTCTCTGGGTTCAATCAACACACATGTTGGTCTGTGGTCTTAAACCCTCAAAGACTTGAAGACCTGAACCAATAAGCAAGGAAGAACATAAAATTCTGTCCAATCAACACATTCTATATCATCATCATCTTCTTCTTCTTCTTCTCCTCAACTCCTCCCTCCACCCCTTTTCTTCCTTTTTCTAGACAATAGGGGCTCAACCCCTATATTTTCTTAATTTTCTTTTCTTTCTTGTTTTTCTTCTCATAAATATGTTGATTTCTATGTTTTAACATGAAGCTTCTAATTTTTTTATGAAGTTTATAGATAATTATCAGTGAAAGATGGTTGCTGGTTGCTAAGGAACCTAGGGAATTACCTTAGGATTCATGGTTTTATGTTGACTTCAAGTGGATTATTTGCAGTCTTGTTCTTGTTCCTTAATTTTATTGGATTTAGCCAAAATCCTATAGCTCTGTGGATTCATGTTCACTAAGGGAAAAAATAATCCTTTTAATAAAAGACAGAAACTTCTGCAAAGTTAACATAAAACCTATTTTTCTAGTTTAAGTATATATATATATGTATCCATTCTAGTGGCATCTCTTGTTGGTTTCATATTTTCAATTCTGGTCACAATTTTATACCTGGGTAAGCTGTCAGCCACATTGCCTAATGAGTGTCACTGTGTTGTGATTCCAGAACTAAGGTTTTTTTTAATTTTAATCTTACACTTTTGTAAAGTGGGAACTAAAGTTGAAAATAATAATTTTCCTGCAGGTTGAAGTGACAGATTTAGCTCTTCTTGCTCTGATTGAAAATTACTGCCGGGAAGCAGGAGTTCGGAATTTGCAGAAACATATTGAGAAGATATACCGCAAGGTTAGCTCAGACATCTGCTTCTGCTTTCATAATAAACCAGGAGTGATTAAAATAAATATAAATAGGATAACTTGGTCACAAGCTGCCAGAATAAATGGTTCCATAGTATCAGCACTGAAGTTGATCATGGCATGTTCTGACATATCCGTACATATGACATGGTTGCTTATGTCTGGATTCCAGGCAGGCCTGTAACACTGTTTACTTGTGAAGAAAACAAGAGAAAAAGAAAAGAAAATAGGAAAGAAGGAGATACAGAAAAGAAAAGAAAGATGTTCTAGGAGAGAGTGGAACCAGTTTGGTTCCTCTCTAACCTGTTTTCCTATGCTTCTTCTACCTCTTAGAAGGATGTTAAACAAGATCAAGATTAAAATTTACCTTCCTATTTTTTTTTCTCAGCTTCCTTTTTTTATTGTGGTACCCTTGTCAGGTAAACTGAAGAAAGTCACTTTCTTTTAGATTCCTTGGATCCTTGGGAGCATCATGCAAAGGGCACATGCACAAACTTGGTACTGAGTTCATGCTTACTGTTTTGACAGATCGCTCTACAACTTGTTCGAAAAGGAGTAGCAAATGAATCATCTCCAGTTGTTGGGGTCCAGGTCATTGGACCTGATGAAAACAAAGAAAAGTCTGCTGAAAAGTTGAATGAAACTGTGGAAGGGGAGATACAGATAATTGCTGAACCAGAGGAAGGTATAATTCAAGAGAAGCCTAGCGGAAAATCTATAGAAGCTGATCAAATACAGATGAATAATCTAGCAGCTGAAACTCCACAAACAGATGATCAAATGGTTGATTCTAAGGTATAATGTCAGAACAAAATAATTTCTATGAAGGATTATGATGGGGTTGACTAGAATTCATTGTAACAAAGTTAATTTGTTGAACTGATTTGCTTATTCATCTGCTTCAATAGGTAGAATGTAGAATTTACTAGGTGACTTGATTGCTTGCATTAAGTTGTAATTTTTGTAAACAAAATCATATCAGGGCAGGGCAGTTTCATTTTCAGGTTGGGTAAAAATATGAACCTAATATGTCCTCTGTGATTTTTGTGCTTACCTTATTTTTTCAAGTTCACAATTTAAAAGGGGTTTTTTCCCAGATTTACTTGAATCTGATATGGTACTGTTTTGGTCCCTAAAAACAGATGTTGGTTGTCTCATGGAACTCCTGGTCAATACAAATTTTTTCCCTACCATCCTAGACTACACATAATCATGCATTGATGTTATTTGCCATGTGAATCTTGTTTGCAGGACCCTGTAGAAAGAAACCAGGTCCGGGAAAGTGAAGCAAGTAAGACCATTGAGAAAGTGATGATTGATGAATCAAACCTGTCTGATTTTGTTGGTAAACCTGTTTTCCATGCCGAGCGCATCTATGATCAGACACCAGTTGGAGTTGTGATGGGTCTTGCATGGACTGCAATGGGTGGTTCAACCTTGTATATAGAGACCACCCAAGTAGAACAAGGAGATGGGAAAGGTGCATTACATCTCACTGGGCAACTTGGAGATGTCATGAAGGAGAGTGCCCAGATAGCACACACGGTTTCCAGAGCAATTTTGCTTGAGAAAGATCCAAATAATCACCACTTCTTTGCTAATTCGAAGCTCCATCTCCATGTGCCTGCTGGAGCTACCCCAAAGGATGGCCCAAGTGCTGGTTGTACCATGATCACTTCAATGTTGTCCCTAGCAATGAAGAAGCCTGTAAAGAAGGACCTAGCAATGACAGGAGAAGTGACACTTACAGGGAGGATCCTTCCAATTGGTGGGGTAAGTAAAACTGCTAATTTGAACTGTCGCCTTTGCCACAAGTGGACCTACTACTCTTGTAAGTCCTAAAGTAGTTTCAACCTTCAATATTGGTTTCTTGAATGCATGGAATCTGACCGTTTTTCTTTCTATGATTATAGTTTACCACTAGATTTTGATTTTTTTTTATGTGAACTTGTTTTGGCAAAAATAATATACATATGTTGGTTATACATTCATTGGTGACGTCTTATCACCTATCCATGTAATATAGCCATTTTTTCTTTTAATAAAAAAATTCTTTTATCATCAAAGGAAAAGGGAAAAAGAAACAAATTACGAATGGAGCAGAGGATGGATGTATGAGTTTCATCAATGGATTTCCTTAAAACAAGAAACCAAAAAAAAAAGTGCCATATAAAGCCCCAAAGGTTACTATTTAACAAACTGGCTACATTATGTTCCATTCTCTTTGATCTCTTCATTTTTCTTTTTCTTTGGAATGCTATGGGGAAGACTTGTTTCTTTGAGATTTGTCATGAAAACAATGCTCCTGCTCTGTGTTCCACCAGCCAGTTAATCCATAATCAGAGGGGCTATCTGCATACATTTAAAAGTTTCGGTTGCTTTTAACTATCAAAAAAAAGTTCTGTTTGTTTTCAGTATCTATATGCCCCAAATTTTCTCCTACTGCTATAATTTGTCCTTTCTAGTAAGAGCATGACTTACAGGAAGGTACTCTGATTTGATGAACAGGTCAAGGAGAAGACAATTGCGGCAAGGAGGAGTGAGGTGAAGACTATCATATTCCCTTCAGCTAACAGAAGGGACTTCGATGAACTTGCTGCCAATGTAAAAGAAGGCCTTGAAGTTCACTTTGTAGATAACTACAGTCAAATATTTGAGCTAGCTTTCAATGGTGAACAGAATGCAGAAAAATAATTTGCACTTGTTTCAGTATGTCTTCAAATACGTACTATTCGGGATCCTGAGGAAAACCTTCATTGCATGCATTTAGGACCCAGCCATCATCAATTTTGTAGATGTAAATCCTTCAATAAGGAGATCCTGAGAAGAAGAAAGTAGGATTGAGCAAAAGTTGTACAATATTCAATCGCTTCAAGATACAATCCTCCATTATTTATTAACTTGATCTGATATTGAGGAAAAATATTTTGTAGATTTGTTAATTGTCTAATTCAAGTTTGATGGTCCACCATCATTTATTTATGATTTTATATGCCTTGTAAAATCGTATCATTCTTCTGTAACAACCATAACATTATTCTTGAGGTTGCATTTTTTTCTGTCAGATTATTCCACATCTAAGCATGGTTGTGTTCTGATTTTGATGTACGGATTAGATTTGATTTTGATGAAATGCCAATTGAGGAGAGCAAAAGCTAGTTTAAATTGTAAAATGTCTAATAAAAGTAAAGTATCCTTGCTTTTGCTTGATTGCATATCAAAGATGAGCTCAACATTTTCTCTGGTCCAATTCATTTGCTATTGTACAACAGAAGGCTGGCTGTTTATATAGGATATGTTTAAAGGTTATAGGATTCAAGCTGTTAGCTGTCCCTCCAAATTGAATGAACCAAGGAAGATGGTGTCAGTGTGTCACACCCCAGTTGAGAATCTAGGCCTATTAGAAACCTGGTTATGTTACTTGTGTCTGATAATCCTTGGGTTCGTTTTTTCCCCGTTTGTGGTGTTTTCTGAATTCTGAATTCACCTTTATTGTACGAAGGAAAAGAAAAATGCCAAATACCTTACTGGCTGAAATTGCAGTCCTATTTTATCTTATCCATTCAACAACCTAATAACTTCAAATCCAAACAGAGATGCTGCTCATTTTATCAACCTTCCCTTTTCCAGGGTTTAATCCTTATCTCTTCTTTAAAGTTTAAAAGAACTTAAGAAATAACAGTCGAGTCTTTTCATGCTGATCTCAGGTTCTTTTGGACAGTTTATGACATCTATGAAGGGTGGCAATTTTAATGACAGGGTCCCTCTGATTTGGGTATGTACTTTGGAGGTAACCTTGTTGACAGAGAAAGGACAGAAGTGTCAAGGAACATAACTTACAGGAATTTACGAAATGTAGGATGTTTTAATTTCCAACGTCAGATTAGAATCCATAACTCACGACCCCACCAAGCCTTGTCAGATCACATGTATGTCCCATATGCGAAAAACTTCTCCATGTGGGTGGTAGTGTCTAGTGTGGTACCTTGCTAAGTTCACTGCTTCGGAACCGTTGGATTGGAATCTGTTGAGAGATTCACCAACTCCAAATCAAAGATTTCAATCCTCAATAGTTGTTCTCAAAATTAAAAAGAAGAAAAGAGGTCATTGTTAGCCCTGTGTGGGATATGTACGAAAGCGACGACTCCTTTTTAGAGTTGAGATTAGTTTTGCTTTTGATGTCACCAATCACCAGCACTCGTCAGTCTCAGACTTCAGTTCCAAAAGCCGGGGTCTCTCGTATTGGCCGGGCTGTTGGCGTTAGGTCGTTAGCACCTTTTACAGTTGAAAGTCATGACTCATGAGGACCAAAGTGGACCATTACCTGACCCAAATGACCCACTTCGCTTCGTGGGCTCTGCTCTCAGTGACCCAAGTGTGATGTTCTTAGACCAAATTAAGACGTCATGATTTGAATTAAGAGTCGATTATCAGGCCCTAAAAAACTGAACTAATTTTTTTTTTTTTTAAGTTCTTTCGCCAAAATTTTGTTTTTTCAGCAATATATTTATTAGTCCTACATGAACTATGTAGGCCTGAAGTTGCTTGCTGAACTAAAAGACTTATTGCTTTGTCTTTTACTTGATAAAATAATTTAATAATGAAATTTTTAAAAGGGTATAATGATCCACCCAATTTTAGCTTCAGCCATTAAGGAGCAGCCCACAATCTTTTCAGTTCAGTCACTTCAGCTGTTACCAAACAGTCCTATTTAGGTCGGATTTCCTCACAGCACTTCAACCGTGAAAAGAAACATCTCTCGATGAATGAAAACATACAAGTACGGGAGAAAATCTGAACTCCTGAGAGAGAGAGAGCCATCTTTTTTTTTAAAGCAAGAGAGATGCATTTGGCTGGAATCTAACAAATAATTGACAAAGTTACTTTAAAAAGAAGTACATCCTTTGCAGGGAATCACATTCATGATAGAAAAGGCTAATTAATAGAAGCTGATCTGCTAGGACTACCATAAGCTGCTTCTATTTCAAGACAACACAGAACACTAATGTTGAAAGAAAAAGGAAAATGACTATGAGAATAAGATACACCATGCCTAACAACATCACATTAATTATTATCAAAGTACTGGGGCCATATGCATGTTAAAATTAGGAGAAACCCAGATAAGAGATCCTGGCGTGCATGTATGGCTTAAGGGTCAATACTCTCAGACGACCCTACTAAAGATTTTGTGTGACTTCAGCTTTGGGATTAGATAATTAGATGCCAAAAGAAACTAACAACTCTAACAGTATGCCCTTTTCCCCTTGGGTTTGAGTCGATTCATTGATAATCCTATGAAATCCTACTAAGATCTTGAGTATGACTAAGCATGTGATGATGCTTAGTCATCTTGAGTATGACTAAGAATGGAGACCCATTATTTAGAGCTTGCTCATCTTTCCACCAGTTTCAATTGTTGTGAGTGATGAGAGTGAGACCATCCTTATCAAGCTTACCAAACTCTTTTGAAGAGATTGATTTGGTTGCTTACGTTTGTGTGCTATTTTAAGTGATTGGTTGTAATTGCATAAGGCATGATGGCATTGACAGTCAAGAAGACTACTGAGATGAAAGCAATGTGAAAAGACAGTCCATGGTTGGCTGAATCAACCCTATCTCTTTGGACTTTTGCTCGGAAAGTTGGAGGCCCACCACTTTTTTGAGCTTTTTTAAGTTTCAACTCCACGTGGGCTTTCCTACTTCAGGAGTACTGAATGTGGGTTGGGTCTCCAAGCTAGGATTTTATGATTTTATCCATTAAAACACCACCAACACTTAGTGGTGGGACTTGGGACTTTTAGGAGGGAGAAAAAAAAATAGGAAAAGATTTCACTTCTCAGGAGGAGAAATAATCCTGTGTAAGCCCAATCTGCTGATCGCATCCATGATTTGCCTGGTTGTTGGATTTCAGACCAAATACATGGATTGTATCCATGATTTTACTGCTTGAGATTTATTGCTCCTCTTTGATATGCACCACCCATATATCAGTCAGAACTCAGAATCTCTCATTTTCCAAAGTGGCAAAGTCAACTATCTCAGTCATCCAACTAGTCTCTGGGCCATCAAATTCAGTTGCACTGTCATGACCCATCAACCCATGAAGAGTACCCACCAATGCTAAAGGCTGAGGGGGATTCTAGTTCTTGTTCTAGGCGTGCCCCAACATCCATTTATGGGCTCTCACTGTGGGCCTCCCACTGCTTAACTTAAACGTGCACTAACAAGAATAAATAAAAAGAAAAAAATGAGTAAATAGAAGTAATCCCATCTCCTCCAAAAGGCCCAACCCATCAGCCTGATCTGATTTGAGCGCTCACTTTCTTACTTTCTTTGAGGTGTGTATCTATTCCTCTTTTGTTTGGAATATCTTTTTGTCTTTTGGCTGAGTTGGGTTGTGCTGTGCCCAAATCAGCATCCAAAAATTAGGGCTGCTTCATTTGATTATGGCAATAATGACGTGGCAAGAATTCAGCTCATGTCTGCTGGGGGTTACTAGATATCTGATTGCATCACCAAAACAAAAGGTCCATCTTGGATGCCCAATATTTTATTTTATTTTAGTCACATGTACTAAGCAAAGTAATGAATGCTGAAAATACCATAAATGCCCCACTAAATCCATGTCAGTATCTACGTGTACTCCTTATAAGTTATAATAAATGTCCATGCCGATTATCTTTTCCAATCGAAGTGGGTTTTAGTAATTACACCACATATGACATAACCTCTACATTTCTAGGTAAACGAGAATAGACAGTGCGTCGGCTGGGGCAGAAGAGGAATTATCCCATGTAAACTTGTGTTGTGTTGTCACTTGTCAGCATTGGTATATTCTAGTCAAAATTAATGGATGTGACGTACTAAAAGTCAGAACCCACCTTGCCAGTGGGACCCATTTAAATTTCCGAGCTCACATTGACGTGGGGTGGGACCCAATTACATCAGTAGACTCCCACTCCCTCCCGAACATAATAATTTAAAAAAAAAAAAAAAAAACACACAAACAAAGAAGAAGAAGAAATACTACCGGTGGTCCGGCCTTTAAGCCTTAAAACCATGGAGACCCCACCGAACGGATATCTCTCTCCAACCAAGTCCTGACTCCTGAGATCTCTCGCTTAAGGGTTGTTTGGTTCCGTAATATTGGGTTGTCGTTGCTTTTTTTGTTGATCATTATCCAATACAAATTTGTGAGAAATATATTTTACCACAACATGATACTATTGTACCAAATACTTATTAGACCCTAGGGGTGTAAATGAATCGGATCATGCAATCTAAAGTCCGATTCTATTTGGCCGGATTCGGATCTCTATATTGGATTTTTGGATCAGATTGAATAATATGATTTAATAAAAATTGATCAATTATATGATAAAAATAGTTAAAAACATATTTCTATTTTTTGTTTTTCTTTACTTAAATTATTATATTTTATTTTTCTTTTAATAATTTATTTAAAAATTTAAAATAAATTAGATCAGATCCAAATATCCGATTTTCTCATTGAATTCAAATCCATGAATTAAATCCAATTTAATTCGCTTACATCCCTACTAGACCCTTATAAATTCATCTCCATTGCTGGATATTATGAATTCGTTAGTAATAGGTAGTTAGGTATGTCATTGTTATAGCATATTATTTATAAAAAGGCGAATAAAATACGAGTAATCTATACTATTTATAAAAAGGCGGATGTCCCTTTTTTTTAGAAATTACATTGAATGTTTTTTATCCTTATATCATTTACTCTTACTTTAGAAACTGTCTACTTATAAATCATTCAAAAACTGTTCATGAATTTTAAATAATTTTGTCATGGAAATGCTACCACGCACGTACACGTTTACTAGTAAGATAATTTGACACACTCTCACTCAAAGGGAATTCTCACGCGCGTCCCATGGGAGAAAGAGAACAGCACTCTTGGAAATCGTCTGCATTTGAACTCGTTGTGGCATGTCAATGATTGTTTTGTTTTACCGGAGGGTAATGGCCGAAAAGATGTAAACCACTTGTGACGTGACCAAACAATATCACATCAAATTCACATTCAAGGTCAACTTCATTGTTTTACAAACTTTTT